TTCCTTTTTTTCTTTCTTTCTTTTTTTGCAATTTCATTGAACTTCGAACATTAAGGTAAAGTGACGAAATATTGGGATTTCTCGAATTTTTGTTGCTTGGCTGCAATAATTTGTCTCGTTAAAATATGTCTTTAACCATTAGGACAAGTGTGGCTTGATACTTTTTTTTACTTGGAATTTAATGTTCTTCCGGTTTATAATAAAAAAAAGAAATGAAGATGACTTTGAAAATTTCGAGACCCGCAAAAAATTGCCACATTCTGCCTCTCTGAACACTACTATACAACTTTTCTACTAAACAATTTTTTCATTAGGCGCGTAATTTCAAGGTTATGTCATGCATGCAAGTTGAACGTGAATCGCCCTGTATATACGTGTGCATGCATTCTCCAAAGCTTAGAAAGTCGCGTCCCCGCAATTTCCTTTGATTATCGTACCGAAATAATTCGCCGGTCGATTTTAAGAAATTTTAAGAACTTTCGCAAGTTATGATATCGCATAAATCTGCATAAACATCTGCAATTTCCGTGACGAGGCATCACGGAGTAGGACGATCCCCTCCTATAAATCTTCAAGCGGTGAAATCGAGTTTCCGCGGCAGGTTGGCGTTTAACGACGTTGCTAACGTGTCGTCGTCGCAGGTGCCGATCGATCGATTCTAACGAAGGCGAATTAATTAACAAAATTGACGTCATGCCGGACGGCCGGCGCGAGTCGACGCGTTTTTTTCCCCCTCGATATTCCCCCGATAGGTTATTAAAAATAAGCCGCGTTAATTTCGGCCGACCGGAAGACCGATCGGGGTTGCAAGTCGAGCGGCGACGAAAAGGTCGGTGTGTTGCGCTGTCTTAAATCAAGCTCCCGTTTTATTCGAACCTCCCCCCCCTCTCTCTCTCACTTCGCGATCGTTTCTTTTCAACTCGCTCGAATTAATTAATTAGCAAAACGTTGACGTCAAGGCGACCCGCACGGTTCAAACTGTATCAAACATGGTGTATATACAGGGTGAGCGGAAAGTACAGGGTTCGTAACTTCTAATATTCGGCGAAACGATATGTTCTAACGAACTACTTTGCCGGATGGGAAAATCAATCGTTTCAGAA